GCTCCACCACCGACATCGCTTCTGATGTGCTCTTCGTGCTTGTGTTTTTTTTGGAGATCTTGTTTGATTGGAGGGAGTTTTTAGGAGGGATTGGGAGTTTAGAGGATGATGCTATTAACTGTTTTGTTTGGTTGGGAGATGAGAATTTTGGTGAGATGGGGATGGGGAATTGAGGAATGAACTCCCTCCTTTTCAATACCTGGGTAGGGGCAGGTAATTGGGAGGGAATTCCTCCTTTACTTCGCCTAAACAAATCGCCATCCGTTTTCATTAATGACCTAATCTCCAACTAAACTCCCTCTCAATTTTCACCACCTCTACCAAACAAGAGTCTGGCATGAAAAATCAAATTCGCATCTTAATCTCACTATCAATTCTCTCGTGTAAACTCCCAATCCCCTTGCCAAACAAGCCAGGCTAGAGCTTGAACCGTTTAGAGTCGAGGGTCAGGTGCTGTCGCCGGCCGCTTCTCCATGGCATGAGAAGAAAATTAACATGCAAAATTGAAGTGCCGTAGGATTAGGAACCAGAAAACAATATACAATATTCATATCAGGGAGAAGAACTGGAGGCAGGGTCATCGTCGATCGAAGCGGTAATCGATGAAGTATTGCGTTTCGTCCGTGGCGGCCGCCAGAAATTGGAAGACGGGTACAGTCGCAGCCAGCATCCAAACGCGCCGCGGGATCAATTGCCTGGCGCTGCGGCTCGCCGGCGGCGGCCGCCTGGAACAGGAACAGAAAGACGGTCGTCGATGTAGCCGATATCCAGGCGAGGAGACACGATCTGCGTTGAATCGAGCCGTCGGCGAGGCTGAAAGCCGCGTCTGCGCCTGGAGCCAAGCCATTTGCATCCTCGTCACGCAGCGCCGGGAGCCGGGCCGAGCTAACCGTTCAATCCCTAGGTCATCCACGTGGCATCCATCCGGAGCGGGCTGCAGGTGAGGCCGATTACACCCGGTCTCCACCAAATTTTTTTTCGAAAGAACTCGATCGTCAGCTTGTCTACTCCCATGTGAATCTCTATCCCTATTGGTCCACCTACTAATCCACTCAGCTCTTCATCTCTCAGCGGTGTGTGACGCAATAATCAATTAAGTAAATTACGTTTAGCGTCACCTTTTATTACCAAACTTTATTTTGGATCACATGTTAACCCATCTTAATTTTCACTTTGGACTAGCTTATTTTGTCTTTGTTTTACTCCATTTTGGACTATCTAAAATCTTTTCTCAAGCATATAACGACTTTGCATATTGGCTCCTGTAAACCAACAATCTTCCCGACATACACGTAGTATATTTTTACAAGATTAGAGGGTAGATGTACTTAGAGATGTGACTTCTATAAGATTAGAGGGTAGATGCACTTAGAAATGTGACTTCTATGTAGGATGTTTTTTGCAAGATTAGAGGATAGACTATTCTAGTATTCTTTGCATATTTAGAGGGTAGATACAGCTACACATACATTACTCTTTACAAGATTAGAGATAGATGTAGCTAGAGAAATGATTTGAGGTGATCCAATGTACAACGAAGTAATCTTACCTAGTTCGAAGTGAAAATATTAACTGGAGGATAGTAAAAAAAACAAAATTTTGGTAAAAAGGTGGGCCAAAGTTTAACTAACTTTAATCAGTTTCCACCAAATGTTGTCCCCTTTGGACATTGACAACACAACATAACTTTATCTAGTGCTCTCGACCACCATATAGACTCAAGCACTAAGGGCAAACCCCCTATGTTCCGAGCCACCTAAACCATGGCTCGAGGCCTAGTGGTTAAAACTCGTTTTATTTTACCTGGAACATATGTAAATTCACCATGTATTTTATAGATGGCCAAAAACATTGTGTGATCAGTCTAAATGTTTTTATAGCTAAATGTTGGATTCGTCCTTGCAAGCACTATTGATACATTGGTTCTACAACACTAAGGTGTTTTAGATAATAACATGAAATTTTACAATTAAGCCCATGCTTTTATTTTTTTACTCAAAACTTCAAACAATTAATAAGCATTATCCGACCATCAAATATCAGTCACCCATCCACAATTTCTTCTCTTTCTCTTATTCTTTTTTGTACCCTATCTCCCCATGCGAGTAATGACAAGGCGTGACCCTCAAGAGCGGTGCAGATCAGGGCAGCATGGAGAAAATCTGATCGACTAGGCGCTCCGCTCTTCAGCGGCAGCGGGCCAATGAACTTTTCAACGATGGCACAAATCAGGGTGACGGAGCATCCATGATGGTAGGCCCCTCCTCTCCCTCCCCTAGTTATCACAGCCTTCCTCTCACCCTTTTCTCCCTTGTCGCCCCACACGTTTACCCTGATGAGCCATCACGTGCCTAAGGATCCTACTTGGTGAGCCGAAACCACTTGCCACGCATGAGAATTGTGCATGCCCTTATGATTTTGAAAATGAATCTCTTTTCTTTCTATTTTTCCAAATATCTTCTTTGCGATTTTTGGTGTTGGTATGATCGACTTATGAACCCATCACATCAATACATCAACATGGTGTTCATCCCCATGGTGTCTTGGCTTTTCCCTTAACATAATTTCATTCGTCACCATTCATCAAGGTTGACTTTAAGCTTACTACATATTAATAGACCAAATAACCATATTGGGGGTGGGAATAGATTTGATGTGACCTAACTTGTATTAAGGCTGAGTTTGAGGAGAAGGGGATTGGGAAGATACGCAAAACGAGATGAGCTATTAGCATATAATTAATTGAGTATTAACTATTTTAAATTTTAAAAATGGATTAATATGATTTTTTCAAGCAACTTTTCTATAGAATTTTTTTTACAAAAAACACACCGTTTAGTAGTTTGGGAAGCGTGCGCGAAAAAAAAGAAACAAACAAACTCCTATTGTCATGCTGCCGAATGCAGCCTAGTCGACACAAGCACATATGTATGTGACTACACTTTGTAACTTCAAAACTATTTTTTTTGAACGACTCGCACGAGATGGTGCGAAGTTCTATTGATAGAGCAGAAAAAAATTACAAGATTACAACCCTGGAAGGTCGTAATCAGGAAAAAGGAAAAAAAATACTACCACCCACACCGACAGCGCCAACACATAGGTCCGGAAGAAGGCTAGCACCGGACCGGCCGCCACTAAGCGTGACTGACCGCCGCTAGGCCGACAAAGGAACACATACGAGAATGCCCAAAAGACGCCCTTACAACCAACACAAAGCCCAACTCTATCTAGAGTGTGCTTGCACCAGTCGTTCGAGTGGTTTCGACAAGGGATGCCTAAACGACGTCTCCAAGGAGAGAAGCGACGGAAAACCGCCGCCGCCGTCCGTCAGGGACTCAAAAGAGCCAAGACTGGGTTTTCGCCCGGCAAACACCCTTGAGGGATGAGACGACACGACAACGCCCTTTGGAGGGGGAACATTGTTGTCGGTCCGGCCAGGCCGGGCTGGGTTTTCACCCGCCGCTCATCACCTGCAAGTTCATGGCTGACGCACCGATGCTCTACCACTGCTCAACCTCTGCTGACATGTGGAACCACTGCACCGGCGCCCCCGTCGGCCAGCATTCGTGCGCCGAAGACCACGCCACACCCCCCGGCCACTCCTACTCACACCGTGGTCGCCTCATTTACCGCCGGCCGCGCCTCATCGCGCCGTGCCGGCCTCCTCCACCACCAGACGCGCCTCTCGCGCTAGTCCAGTCTCCCGCCATCGACCGCGCCTCTCGCTCACATATAAGAACGACGTCAATTTTCTCATCACAATTCAACCATACAAATATGTTCTCGAAATTCAACGGGTGATGGACCGGTAGCTATAGCAGTTTATGACAACGACCAATATTTATATATATGCTTCGCTTTTCTCCTTGTAGTAGTACCTTCAACGCAATTCTATGCATACCTTGGGTGTGTTTAGTTCACGCCAAAATTGGAAGTTTGGTTGAAATTGGAACGATGTGACGGAAAAGTTGGAAGTTTGTGTGTGTAGGAAAGTTTTGATGTGATGGAAAAGTTGGAAGTTTGAAGAAAAAGTTTAAAACTAAACTCGGCTCTTCTCTTTTGTTTTAGGATAAGATTTGATAAAGTTCTGATCATTGATAACTTTTATTTTGTTTTTAAACTAAACATTTGAGAAGTTATCAATAATCAGAATTTTAAAATTCTGATAAGTCTTATCCTAAATATGACTGGATGGAGCAATTTTTTTAGTCCTTTTGTAACTGCTACATTTATTGCAATACATGAGCATTTTGCTAGTAAAAATGCGTAAATTACAAATGACGAAAAAAAAAGTGACCTGCCGGAAGTGACAACAGAAAGGGATGTTGGCTACACGGTCGCGATCCCATAGTACAGTTTACTTGGCTGGCAGTATCGCAGTCCGTTCGTCAACCGGTGAATGGCAGCGACACGCTAGGCAAGTCACTGCTCTGCTTGATCAGGCTCGCTCCCTCTTTTGGGTTGGCCACGGTAGCGCGTACGCGGCGCCCAAGCTGTCGGGGTCTCTCAGGTGAGCCAAGCCGCCGGCGATTCTACGGATGCCGCTGTCACGGTGCGGTGTGTGTGTGTGACGCGACCCGCGCCGGCGGGCGCCCCCCAAAACTGAAAGGCCGGAAACGAGGTGAGGGAAGAGCCTCATGCTACGTTCCCTCTGACGATCGCTAACATGTGACCGAGCCACGTCTTTTTACCTTCACGTTAATTCGTTAAAGAATCTCAATCCACGGGGTGTTGGTGGGCTTCACGGCATCGGGGTACTGGGTTGATTTCTGTGAGATGGTTATACAGCGCAGTAAGTCTACTTCTAGTCCCTCAATATATGTCCAATCTTATTCATATCCTTGAATCGTGGTACCGGATATCTAGACACTTAAAATATTAAAACAGGTATAACTTGCCTCCCTCGGCATTTTTGGAAGGTGGTCACCGATACAACGCTTTGAATTGTCCAGCCCGTTGAGTCATCCTGTAGGATCCACCCGCCAGTGACCCACTGACCATGCTCTTCCTTCCTTTACCCCTCCTAGGTCTGGACGATAGGGCATCCATCCATGGCATGCTGCAAGTGAGGTGGCGGCGAGTTCTTTCAGTCCACCTACTTTGCTTGCTCTTGCTCGGTTTCCCCTTTCCTTTGAAGATTTGTGCTCTTCTAGTCTTCCCTGATGGAGGGCGTCGTCCTCATCGGAGCGGCGAAGTGAAGGCTGCAGCGGCCAGCGCTGTACCTGCTTGCTATCACCGGCCATCATCTGGCTACTGTCACCACACATGTAAGGAGCATCGCCGGGCGGCCTAGCCAAGGCCCCGGAAGCAATACCAACTGACAATGGAGGTCGGCGACAGGACGACAGCGATGCCCGCAATTCTTTGCAATTTTGTGCCATCGTCCATGTCACGCCACACAATTCGTGCAAGTCCCACAAAAATTGAGAAGAACAAAAAAAGTATCCCAATTCGAGCCATCGATCATCTCGTATGCACACGTGCGTCAACCGCGTCAGGAGATGGAAAGGCGTCGGCGACGCTGGAAGAGCACCTTGGCATCGGCGATGGCCTTGGTGCACGAGCTACTGGACGCCCGGCTCGACTGCGAGATGCGTCCGGAACAGTGAGTTGAGGGTGCGGGGGAAGCTCCGGAGGAGGCGGTTCACCGGGCTGACGCGCACCAGCTCACGCTTCATGCTCACGTGGTTCTTCACCAAGTCGGTGAGCCGTATCCGCATCCGCACCACCTCCAACTTCACCTCCGAGTTCTCCCACCACACCAACGTTTAGTTGTCCTGCGGCAACATCGCGTCGCTTCCTATCCCGTTCCACGACCACATCCCACCGCCTCCGGAGGCGAAATTGCTTGAAGTAGAGCACATGTGCGGCCATCTGCATGGGCAGCCGCTCGTTCCGTGCCGCGTGCAAATCCCGTGCCGTTGCCCTGATGACGGGTCGGCCCCACAAGATTACTTGGCGGGTTGGACCATGTCAAAGTGCCACGCCAGCGAAACTGCGTTCTAAAACAGTTAAGGAAGACAAATTACACCGGTTTTAATAGATTAGGAGCCAAGGTATCCGGTATTACGGTTTAGTGATAGGAATCAAATTAGAGTCAAAGTGAACTTGCATAGCAATGTGTGGGCTGCTAGGCAGATCGGGCACAGACAGAACACTGCCCAAGAAATGTTCTAACGAATTTCAGGCAACACGTGCGAAACAAACCATGATTCTAAGTAGCTTATGAAAGTATGGCTTGTCTTCTAAAAGTACAGTTTCTCTAAAAACTTCCTACATCAGCATCCATTAGATAAAACTTTTTCCAAATTACTTGTCAGGGAATGTATCCTATGCACACAAGTTCTTATCTATAATCTATCCAACCATCCAGTTAGAACACACCCTAATAATCCATAGTACTCGAGAGTTTGAGACTATGAGGTACTACTGAGTTTGTCGGTTCAGAGATTCTGGTACCCCAAGGCTTAATCTTCTGGCGTAACAATGTGAAGGATAAACAAGTGGGTGATTTTGTGATGCATTCTGTATTCAGAAGAGACCATGCCAAGTGCCAAGAACGTGAAGCTACCAACTAAGTCCCAGGAATGTTCCGTCACAACAAGTGAGTATAAAAGTCACTTCGGTTAAGATCAAGCATGGCGACCAAGAGCATGATCCCGAAGCCAAGAGAGTAGAACGGGATTAAATTCACCTTTTACGGTCTCGCACAATGCAGAGAAGATCATGGCGCGGCACACGTGGGTCATCTCCTTGCTCCTCACCTCCGCCGTGGCTGGTGCGTCGCGGCAGCCGCCCGCGACCGCAAGCCAAGGACCGACATGGACCGGCCTTGCCGGAGAGCAAGAAATGGAAGGAGCAGCCACCGCTTCATCCGCAGCGCCGGTGGCTTCGCTGTTCCCCGGCCTCCCGCCATTGCCGCCGCTGCCAGCGCTCCCCGCTCTGCCGCCGCTTCCACCGCTGCCCGCCTTACCGCCGCTGCCACCGTTGCCGCCATTGCCGCCGCTCCCTTCACCCGGGACGACGACGACGCGGCCGCGGCCACCATCGCCACCGCCGACGGAGTGCCTGACGTCGCTCGTGGAGCTGCTGCCGTGCGTCGACTACCTCACCAACGACGCCACCGCGCCGCCGGGCGCCTGCTGCGACGGATTCAGGTCGCTCGTTGGCAGCGCGCTCATCTGCCTCTGCCACGGCATCAATGGCGACATGAGCAGGATGATCTCCAGGCCCATCGATCCGGTCCGCATGGTGCTCCTTCCCGCCATGTGCAGCACCATGCTGCCGCCGCAGTCGCTTTTCATATGCTACAGTAAGCCAACGCTTTTAATTATATGTTTTTTTTTATTTTGCCAAAAATGATTTTGAAGTCACAAGTGATTTGATGTTATAAAAGACATAAATCACAAGTCATAAAATTATAACTTTTATGGATTTATAATGTTATAAAAGACATTGACTTGTGATTTGATTTTCGCAGCGGAAACAGTGCCACCATTGGTGCCATAGTTCTACGGTGCATATGCTACTGTCTTCAGTAACGCGTTCGGCGTTCGGCCATACCGTGCAAATTACTTTACAATTCTTGTCTTCTGAACATTCGATTTCGAAATTTTGTTTTTCAGACTGAGACCGATCGATGTAAAAGCAGATGGGATATAAAGTTTCATCAAGATTAACTGCTGATTTTCTTAAAAAAAAGAAAGAATTAATTGTTGATTACTTCCTTCGTCTCAAATGTAAGCATTTTTAAGGTAGTCACAGATATTAAAAAAACTAGTTGATACCCCGCACGTTGCTGCGGGATATATAGATATATAACTTTGAAGAATTATGGCTCCAGCAAAGGTTTTAATATTTTGCAATTCAAGATATGAGCTTTCTTAACGAAACAGGCATAGCTGCAGGCCTTAGCAAGCATGCAGATGAAGTTAATTACTTTGACAAAAACGAACTGCACCAGAAAAGTCTGAACAGAAACTTGCAAATGTAAGCTACCAGGGGCCAGGCAAAGTACCGATTGTAGCTAACATATTGCATTTAACCCAAAAGATTAGTACAGTTTGTTGACAAAAGGAAATGAAATTCTATAAGAGCATTTGAATTGTCGTGTCTCATTAATTACCTGGCATATAAATCATCACGTTTACTCATAATCACTAGCCAATTAAGTCGTACATTCGTACGACTATGACTTGCACTTTTATATGTAACGGTAACGGTAAGTATCATTCATGGGAGTACCAAAAAATATCGTAAATTTTTTGAGTCAAAAACTTTGATATGTAACTATAATATAATTGAAGTACTATAATTACATTGTAAGTACACTGTAATTATATTAGTAACTACGATATAACTTATATAAAACTTGTATTCAACTATGATTTGGTTAGACGTGACATATGTGAAAATTTAGTTGTAACAATTTTTTTTCTTCATACAAAAGTTTCGAGGCGATCCGATGGTGACAAATCTGAAAATTTCAGGGGCAAAAAATTTGTGGAAGTTTTCTAGCAAATCCGATCATTTATATATGTTAAAATTTAATTAGGTAATTAGATTTATAATAATTGGGACTATGACTTGCATTTTTAAATGCGTATCGTTTGTAATAATTATATATGTTAGAATTTAATTAGGTAATTACAGCTATTGGAACTACTATATTTAAGTTTTGCCAAAGAGTGAGATTTACAGGTATTATATACTAAACTACACATAGAACATATAGGCTGTGATAATATTAGGAGTTAGAGTACCATGTTGTTAGCGGAAGATATTTAAATGTTGTTAGGTGGGCAAAGAATACGATGATTTATTTTGAGTTATTATAGTGCTCTTTTTACTATTACTCCCTCCATTTCATAATATAAGTTATAACCACTTTTCTTAGATGTTTCATAATATAAGACATACATGCAAGCATGCAATTAACTATGACATTTTCTTCATTAAATTATTATTTTTTAAATCCTCCACTCTCATGTTGTCTAATCATATTGGATGCATGCATTAGTATTTATTATGATGATCCAAACTACAAGATGATAATAATTATTTCTTGTTCTTTGGGTTAAGGGTGGTTGTGTCTTATATTTTGGAATGAAGGGAGTATTTAGTAGTAGTAGCTTTTATTTTAATTAAGTTTAACTGTGTTGTTTCTTTATTTCTCTTACGTGACGGTACCCCATGAATGGATTTTTATTACTTTTGTCTTTTCTGTTTCATCTCTCCGATGGAAGTCTCCTGACTCTTCCTACGATCTTCATTATTAATCCAACCGTTCACACCAAATCCAAAGGTTTATGCTATATAAGTATACCTGGCTCAATGATGGAAGAAATAAACATTCTTCGTTCATTAAAAGAGATATACATGAAATTCGACTTATTCTTTTATTTTGGGCTATATCCGTGATGCCCTATATATTGTACTAGACACGTGGGCTTTTAATATTGGCGGGCCTTCGGATATTGCCATGGTGGATTCACGAGTCTTCCAGTTAACTTCCGAAGTCCCTTGACCATGCTTTTTACTTTGGTTATTTTGAGAACCAACGGCTGTTGTTTAATATCTGGCTATATCCAACAGTTCTAATTTTCCCATGACGTGGCACATCTAGGTGATGAACAACTTTAGTTTTTTCATTACTTTAGATTAGCTAAAAGGAAATATTCCCGGTAAAGAAAATCAACTTATGAGATCGTGAAAGTTAATTAATAGCTAACATAAGGTATCTGAAAATGTATAAGAATCGTATACTATTTATTGCTCTATGCTGCTAGCTGGTAAGGATCTTTCAATTGCAGTGTTATTTTGAAAAAAAAAAGAAGATACTGTTACATTGTCCTAATGATGAAAGAAATTATAATGCGGTAAGAAATAAGTAAAAGAAAAGTGCACCTTCAAAATCTCCATATCATTCGCATGGGAGAAGAAAACTGAATTCTCTCTTAATTTATAGGAATCATAAGTTCGTGATCAAAACTGAATATATATGAAGGCAGAAATTTGTGATCAAAATTTACCTCATCAATTAGGGTAAGATCATGTATGTGGCATAAGGAAAAACATAGTGATATCATCAGGTTATATTTTTTTTGAGTGGGAAAAGCAGGAGCTCTGCCTATTTCATAATAGAAGGAGAGAAACATACCTTACCCTATTTGAAGAATGTCTATAAAGTTTCGCTATTTGATGTAAAGGGAGAAAAAAAAGAGTACAGTATAGACATCAGCTTTACCAAAAGCTGATAAATTTGGGATCGAGCCAATGAACTCAACATAGGAGAATGAGGGGAGAGAAAATGTACCTCATCCAAAGACTGATGGGAGTAGGAAAGGTAAACACCAGGAAGACACCAATCGACTGATGTCAGGAGCTGCAAATGAAATCATGTTGACGGGGACAAATTAGCTATGAACCCTGCATAAATGCCCCGTATAGATCCCATTCCCAGCCAAGATCAACCAATGTTTTCCAAATCTAAAGACCAAATCAATGCCCTGATAATCCATATGAGCCACCAGATGAATTGGACGGGAACTTGATGAAAATCGTCAGCCCTAATAATCCACATGAGTACTGATAATATATCGTGGTGAGCGCCGCGCCGGGATTGAAAGCCTGTATGCTCGCAGAGCATCGGGAGGGGCTCGTGCTGAAAGAGGAAGCATCAATATTTAGCATGAAGAAGAGGAATGGAATGGGTGCAAGAATGATGAAACGCATCTGGAGAATAAATGGAATTAACTATACCTAATTGCCCTAGCCGACGGCTCGGTGGCAGTTGATTAGTCAATTTGAGGCTTGCCGTTATGTGAGTGAGGGTTGGTGGAGAATTTGATGGAGGTCTGCCTCCTCAAGTCGCTGGATGCTGGAGCGTGGAGGTCGCACGTAGTGCACTGCTCCCTGCGAGCGTTCAGATTAGATCGAACGGCTGAGAATTAAATGGTGACGTGGCTTAACCACAGATCAGTTTTGGGTCTTACCTATATAGAAAGAAGGGATAGGGAAAGATGATTGGATGATGGTTGTAATTGGTAGAGAAGATAAAGTAGGTGAAGATGATGGTTATGATTGATTGAGAAGAAAGCATAAGTGGGAAAATAGCTTTATTTTGGGATATCATGGTGACGTGGCTTAACCACATATCAGTTTTGGGTCTTACCTATATAGAAAGAAGGGATAGGGAAAGATGATTGGAAGATGGTTGTAATTGGTAGAGAAGATAAAGTAGGTGAAGATGATGGTTATGATTGATTGAGAAGAAAGCATAAGTGGGAAAATAGCTTTATTTTGGGATATCACCGAGTACTCCATCCGTCCCAGAATATAATAACTTAAAACCGGATGTGACGATTTCTAGTACTACGAATCTGTATCTGTAGTACTATGACACATCTCATCCGGTTCTAAGTTGCTATATTCTGAGACGGAGAGAGTAGTGACTAGCCTCCGGCATTCACTTTCCAAAGCACCATTAACTTGCAAGTTACTATGCTAAAAATAGCTGCATTTAAAACCAGATGTGATGATTTCTAGTACTATGAATCTGTATCTGTAGTACTAGTGACTAGCCTCCGGCATTCACTTTCGAAAGCACCATTAACTTGCAAGTTACTATGCTAAAAATGGCTGCATTTTATGATGGATGCAGTAGTAAATTATCTTTCGCTGTTGAGTACCGAGTTGTTTGTATATGTAAATTGTAAAGGGTCTTTTATACAAGTCACGTATAGTTCTGTAGTGCTGCTAATTTCGCGGCGTGGAAGACAAGGCCTGGACATCAGACACAACGATATTGCACTTGTTGGTTGAAGCATACGCTGTGTTCTTTGATTCTGCACATGAGTATTTCTCAAGTTCTCGTGAATAAATCATTCAAGGAACTGACCAGGCAGTATAGAAACGCCGGTAAGTTCCCAAAAGACAAGGGGCAGATAAAATATGTAAACATATCACATCTTCATAGCACCATCAATATGATTTGCCTGAATCCAAGTAACATATAGCAATATGTAGAAGTATATTATTACACAAGAACCTTCTAACAAATCACCCAGCAACACCATCCAGCCACCGGCCACCGCGTTAATATACTCGCGGTGAATCCATCCATGCGAAAGCCTCTCGGGGTGGGATAAATACAGTAGTCCACGAGAGACCACTAGGCAGACGCATTGACCAAAAGCCTCCGCGAGGTATACAGAAGGACACTAAAGTGCAGATATCTCCTTTATGACCTGCTCTTTGTCTGCCTCGAACTGTTCATCCTCTGATAAACCATAACACTGCTATTAGCTCATGTGCAAATGATATAGAGGCATATCAAATCCCATTGATGAACAGCTACAGTGGGAAAGCTTAATAGATATGATTTGTACCAGCTCAAGAGCTGAAAAATGAAAAATGAATTGAACATGCAGTCTTGAGAACAGAAGAAAAGCAAGCAAGTGTAAAAATTGAGGTAACAGGTGTTAAAATAGGTAGTAAAGCACCTTTGTCAATCTTGAATCCGGCAAAAAATCGGAGAAGCTTGCTTCGGTTTGTGACTAGTATGTTTACAACCTCAGTTGGCTTGTTTTTATTTGCCGCAAATAACTGCAGTATGTAGCAAATGTAATAATCATACCTGAGTTCAAATAAACATCACCTGCTTTACTGGGAATAAATCTGCAGAGTATTAATACTAACCTTGAACACATGAAATGCTTCAATTTGAATATTTTTGCTTGAATCCTGAAAATTCAAGAGATGAATCCATGATAATATGAATTTCTCAGAAAGAAAAATGCTGATAGTCTGAAATGCCTTGATTTGAATAATCTTGGGGCCATTATTTCAAGAGGATAAGTATTGGTTTTTTTCTGTAAAATGTAATGGCGATTCTACATAGGTCACACAGCTTAGAAGGTTGACTGGCTTTGAGGCTCAAGATTGAGTTCAATGCAAATTTTGGTTTGAAACCTATGAATCATCAGAACTGGATCATGTGTTGACAGCTCCAGAAACAGAGAAATAAACATGGTTGCAATACATTTGTTGTGATTAATGTATTGCTAGGAATATCAATAAATCCGTGTGGCTGTGACAGCATTCTTCAACATCCCTTTAGCGCACAGTTTTTTAATGTGTGACACTGACAAATGTAGACTATCAGCTGGGTTTTCATCTTAACAGCTATCTTTACCGAAAACTATGGTCCAAAGAAATTTTAATGTATAATCATAATCATCATCATAAGCTGCAGAATACAAGGATTTGATGGGACATGGGAATGGTGATTTGGTGATATTTTCTAGTGTTTGCAGGTACGTCAAATCATGAAAGCATAAAGTTGCACGTTGCATTCTAAAATTATAAGGTCAAGTGGAGTGAACTTACTCTCAAGAGATTCATGAGAATCATAAGATTATCTTTTGAACTAACATAACGCATCATGACTGTAGAGTTGGATCTATCAAGCAGCATGTCTCCCAAGAACTGAAGGGGGAAAAGTAAATATTAACTTCAGAAAATTAGAAAACATAGTGTACAGTGTACTCACAGCATCAAAATAAAACAGTACTTTTACAAGGAAAAGATCTTTGGACACCAAAAGTGTATATGCATGTGTGAGTTGTCAAACAGCAATTAATAGTAGTGAATCAAGCATGATAAGCTATGCAAATCACTTTTCATGTTCCAAGAGAAGGCAGATCCAAATCACTTTTCATGTTCCAAGAGAAGGCAGATCCGTACATGCAGACATATCACAGATAAACCCACATGTAACAGAATAGCAATACCTTGATAGCCTGCCTTTTTGTTATGTAGTTGGTTGATGATAGCAACCTAGTGTTGAATTCTGAAAAGAACTGCAGAAGAAAGAAAGATGATAAAGACATGAGACTACAATAGCAGAAAAGATGTTACAATTTAAACCATACACTAACTGAATTATAAGTGGCATACAAAGCAGGATACAACAGTGTTTGTACATCGACATGGATTAACAATGATGATGCCAAGTAAAAATACTCACCCAGTCATAATTCTTTGACAGAAATTCTGCCACGGTAGCTTTATGCCTTGTCAGAAGTTCCTGTTTTGAGTAAATCAATATGATCACACAAGAAGACACGTATGAAAAAGGAACAAGGGGATGAAAAATATTAGCCAAGAAAGCAAGTGTGCTCCTGCACTTCACTAAAAATCCAAGGCATCAAATAATTTCCTCGCAGCAACAAGTTGTGAATATTGCAGCCTGAATCAAGTTTTAATGGAAAAAAAATTGCCACATTTTTATCAACGTGACTTTTGGAAAAGAAAAGTAAAATATAGTGATACCAGCGGCCAGTGGACATAGAGATGTTATATGTAACCTATGTAACATTCTTAGTATAATTCAGGCATATAAGTTAGGAAAAGAGGAAGAAAACCCAACAAACTTTTTGCAGGGCGGGCTTCAGCAAATCACCTTAAAGGTCGCAGAAGCATCTGATGCAATGTCAAAATTTGGAAGTTGTATATAGTCAAAGAACTTCTTCATGTGGTCAGACTCTAAAACGTACCTGTGAGTGAACATTTACCAAGATAAATAAGCACCATTCCGACAGGAATTTCTAATTTCTACAGTATTTTATGGTTTATGTAAAACAGAATCCTTAGTTGGGATAATATATGTAATCTATTATCTTACGCTTTACTACTTCCTCCGTTTCAAGTTATAAGATGTTTTGACTTTGGTCAAAGTCAAACTGCTTCAAGTTTAATCGAGTTTATAGAAAAAATAGTAATATTTTTTACCCAAGATAAATTTATTACAAAAATATATTTAATTATTAATTTAATAAAACTAATTTGATAATGTAAATATTACTATATTTGTCTATAAATTTAGTCAAACTTGAAGCAGATTGACTTTGACCAAAGTCAAAACATCTTATAACCTGAAACGGAGGGAGTATCAATTAATATTTAGAACAGGAACAGAGGTTATAAAAAAAAAGCTTAACAATAAACAGCTAGGGAAAAAGTTACAACATCAAACAAATCACAGAACAAACATTTAACAGATCATCATAGTGCTATGGGCCTACAGCACGTAAACTACAATAACCATTCACATGAATCGGGCCTCTCTGTTAATTATGCATTCCTTCACTTAAATGGGTACACAATATATCAACTGAAGAAAAGAATCTTGAATCAATATTTGGATACAGCGCATGAAATTCCAGTGTAAAAAATAATAATTCGAGATATGAAGGGTTATGTGCAGGTTTCCACAAAATAAATTTCAAATTTAAGGCCCTCTTTGTTTAGGCTTAGGCTTTTAAGCCAATTTTTTGGCTTGTATGTTTTATAAGCCTGTGGCTTTGAAGCCTGTTTAATGATGGAGTCATACCTCCAATTCACATAAGCAACAAAAACTACTCCAACCTAGCATTTGTCTTAACAGTGTAAAGAGTGGCTTATGGCAACGAAAAAGCTGCTTGTTTGTTTAGGCTAGACCTTTCGGCTCATAAGCTGGCTTATAAGACTAAACAAAGAGGGCCTAAATGTGCTTGCATATCCACTTGATAGGTTCATAGGCACAAAATAAATAACAATTTTAATGTGACACACCACTCCAATACAAACTTAGTGCTTGCATATCCACTTGATAGGCTCACAGGGATGATGGATTTTGCTGACATGATGTTTTCTGATGTTTGATTCATAATGGTTATCAATTTCAGTTCAGTAATGTCACCTTGCAATACTTTGGTGGCGAATACATTCCCTCAGCATAGAGCCGTAATGCAAAGCAATGTCCATATTCTCATACCTGGTAAGTAGTGAAAATAACAGGCAAAATAAGCAAAGCTAGTCTGAAGCAATAACGGTACATAAGAAATATTTGGAATGCAATAATCATGTGGCTACTGCAAGCTAAAAAAGGTAAACATTAACCATATTTGCTGTATTCCCATGGCATACCGTCAAGTCAATTGTTTTACACAGTTATTGTCAAATCTAAATATGAACGTGCATAATTAGTGCTAGCTCAAACCATTGTGCAAAAGGCAGGCCCCACAATCAGATGGCCTGATTGGTGTACTGTATTTGTTCAGTTGGTGGGACCTATGGGCTGAATTTGACAGGGATCAGACGATCAGCCACAGGTATACATGGTAATGTGGGGTTGAATACATGAATCATTTCCCTTGTGTGCAGATCAAAGAAGCTGGTCCCATTACCATGTCCTGAATTTGGGTTTGTTCAAACGAACACTTAGTTTCGCCTTTTCTTCCACTACCATGGTCCGAGTCCCCCAGTGGGCATGGTGCGAATGCTAACCATTCCCTTCACGGTTTGATTTTTTTTATCCCCACTAGAAATGGCATAAAGCAAGAACTGGACATAATAGTTATTGCAGTAGTGTTACTGGAATATTGGAATAACGTCACTTGTTATATACTGACTCATATTATGTACAATATCAACCATAAAGAAACCCAGGGGAAATGGTTTGTAAGTACTTTCTGATATACCTTAACTAACTAATGAAATACTGTAACATACGTGCATCCAGTTTCGTAATTTAAAGATGGAATATCCATCTAGATGTCTTCATATGGACAACTAGTTTTACTTTAACTATTATTGAGCATTAAATCCAGCGCGCTAAATATGGAACACATGGCCAATCAAGTATACAGAGGCCAAAGAAAGCGCCTGAGAGGCAATGTGGCACCAAGCCACTAAGAAGCAAAAAGAGCAAGAACAGCTAAACAAACATGATACGGCCAAATATTTTATAAAAGGAAATGAAATAATGTTCTGTAATTGTTTACTTGCATATTAGACTCACCCAGAAATTAAGGTGTCCAAAAGATCTTTATTTGCTTCTAGATACTCAGATGCAACTATTTTTGAGGAGACTTGCTGCCTTTGCAAGTTTGCAACAACTTGAGTTGCATCTTTCCTGGTCTGCAAGATATATCCATTAAAATAAGTTAGCCATCTAAACAGTAGCAATAAGAACAGTACATGTATCACCAGTACCATCGCAATCCACCAAAAACAAAATAAAGTTGCATACCTCTAAGTTCAATTTCGGAAGACAAATAATTAGAAGCCGTAAAGTGTTCTCTCTGAAGAATTCTTGGGTCAATTGCACGCAAGCCTCAGTCACAGGTTCAGATTCACCATTGCCATAAAGAATTGACTTCAACTCCCTGATATTTTTGCTTAATTCTGCCATCTGCATAAACATGGTCTTAGCTGCCCATAACATATAGGAATATATTTTTCAAGTTCATATGTATTGTTTACAGAATAAATTGACCCAAAAATTCATAATAGTTAATAATATTGAAGTAATCATTTGAACATCATTATGCCAGTGCACGTTTCATCAATAAGCTTTATCCATAAAGGCATTATTAAATGCTAAGAGAACATTCCATCAACTAGCTTTTACAGGCAAACACATAGCGGTAAGTAGTGCCAAGGATTAAACAGTCTACATAGTCGAGGAGGTTATGAATTTTCTCAGCATTATTTAATTTGAGATGGCATCTTAGTACCACGGATAAGAGCCATAGCTTAATCCTTGTAGATGACCACCGACACACTGAGAATCTTACACTGAGTTACAACTGCAGGCCAATTGATTATCTATCCAATTATCATAATTGCATAAACAGTCATAATTAAGCAGCCTATGGGTCTCCGTGGAACAGAGAAATTTCCTGTTCATGCTGAAAAAGATCTGATTCATATGAAATTAATATCAACTTCCTATGAACTGAAATGCATGTTTTCGAAAAATGCCGTAATTGTGTCATATGCCAAAAATGTATATCATGGAGTTACATAGACTACCCCTTAGTTTTGTACATTCCGGATCACATCGATATAATTATACCATCTTAATAGTCACAACCTCACGGGGAAAACAAATCTGCTGCCAAAAGCAAGTAGACTAAACTCATATACCAGCATATCGCAGGCTCGCATCTATTGCATTTATGATAAGTTACATCAAATTGAAGGAACAGAGCACGAATCATGGCTAATTAGGTAAAAAGGTTCCACTCTCATGAGCGATCGGGGACGAATGTGCGCAGCAAGGGGGATGGGGCAGCAAAAAAAACAGTAACAACTGCGTGTTCGATCTCACCTTCTCCTCGCGCTTGGCGTCGCCGCCGCGTGATCCGGAGTGTAGGTCGAGGAAGATGAGGAGCTCCCGCGTCTGCCGCACGACGTCTGCCGGCGTCCGCGGCTTGGACTTGAAGAGGCCCTTCATCTTGGCGCCGTCGTCCGCTGCCGCTAGCGCCGCGGCGGCGGCGGAGGCGGAGGAGGCTAGCGGCGGCGCCCGCGGCGGCGAGGGCAGGGGCGAGGCGGCGGGCCTCCTCCGCCCCCCCGACCCGAAGGAGAAGCAGCCCCGGAACAGCGCCACTGGTCCCGCCGCGGCAAAACCCTCCCCCACTGGGAGAACGAGTACCCACCCCTCCTCCTCCTCCCCCACCGCGACGGCCCGCGGCGACGCGGCGAGGGTTCGTGGGGTTCGGGGTCTCGCGAGATCGTGACGCGATGCGCGCGCGCGCGCGGCGGCGGCGCGGCGGTGGCGGTGGGCGGTGGCCGAGATCCCCCTCTCCTACTCCCCTATCCACCCACCCACCGGCGCGGAAGGAGGCAAGCCTAGGGCTAGGGGGCGGTGCGTTTCTCGACGCTTCTCCCCTGTCTCCTTCCCTGCTCCGCTTTTCTCCCAACTTTTTTTTTCTCCTTCGTTTTTAACTGTTATCTTTCTGTGCGTGCCAATTCTGTGATCCGCTTTGGATTCAGCGGCCTTTGCCTGAACACGAATCAACGCAATCATCGACCAGAGAAATATTTCCACCTGTCATTGGGATCAGCAATCAACGGCCTCGATTATCCGCTGCGGTAGACATGTCCTCCTAGGCCATGGCCATTCACAGTGGGCTTAAGTGGCATTCAGCCTCCACACCCAAAAACGAATATTCCATGCCACATCGTCAAACCGTGCAGCTTGCTCAGGTCCGAGTAGCCAACTTTGGCTACGAGTTCTTCACGTCTCAAGCGGGACCCACACTATGCTAGAGGATAGAGGGGAAAGGGGCGAGGTAGTCGACGGGCTGGAGGAGGAGGAGGCGAGAGCGGGGAAGGAGAAGAGGAGGCTGGCGTCGCCGTCGTTGTCGCTGCCCGGCGCCGTCGCCGCTCGGGCCGTCTCGCCACCGAGCTCCTCCGCCATCAAGCCCTCCGCCACCAAGCTACTCCATCGCTGGCGCTTGCCGTTCTTCGGGGGGAGGAGGAGGGTGGTGCGCGGGCGAGCGCCAAGCCTCGCCGCCCCTCCGGTTGGCACCGCCGCCGCTTGGCTGCTTGGCCGGTGATGCACTCAGCGCTCGCTAGTCACTACGGTGGGGAAAGAAGCCAGGAGAGAGAGGGGGGAGAGAAAAAGGTGGTAAAAGCTGGTAATGGTGGGACCCACACGAAGCAACTTGCACTGTAATACATGTAGCTAACATTGTTCCTGGTCTAGGTGGCGCGCGAGGCTGAGCAAATAATTGTGGCGTATTGTGAATGCCCTTAGAGCAGGATTAATAGTACCACCCGCTTCTGGCTCCAACCTCTTCCACGTCATCTCCATACGAATTAAGAGACATATGATACAATAGCTAGGCTCTAATACTACACACATTACATATCTATACTTTCTATATAGTTGGTACCCACTAAAGCTAAAGCTTAACAGGCAAGCATGCCACATCATCACCCACTAGCAATTATTATTCTAGCTCATTTAAAATCCCATGCAAGTATGCCACATTTTCACTCACTAGCAATTACTATTCTAGCATATTTTCAAATCATCTTCCTTATATTATTTTCTCAACATTTCAACTATCATCATTTCAACAATATTTAACATATATTCATCCGTGAATCCCGCAGCAAAGCGCGCGGTATCACCTAGTTATTTTAATATAAATGGGCCTATCTATCATCAGTTTAGGGTAGCATGGATGTAGCAAACAGGTCTCCTTGCGCTGCACCTGTGGCCCAGCGTCTCGGAGTTCGCGTGCAGCCTGGCGCTTATTTAGTCACCCGCTAGCGTTCTCTCACTATCCTTCTCTCCTCCAGCACAGCATGCGAGCCAACGTAGATACACTATCGCCGACGGATGAATCTTTATTGTACCTGCTCATCCAAACCGTTTGAATGCTGTTCAATCTAACGAAGCAACAAGCATATTTTGGTTGCGAGATTGGAACTAACGAAGACTAAGTTTAACTTGACGCACGTCAAACGAGAAAATTATTAGTACATGATTAATTAAGTTTTAATTATTACAAACTTGATAAATTGATATATTTGATATTTTAAAGCAACTTGTGTTAGAAAGTTTTTGCGGAACGTATCGTTTAGTAGTTTGGAAAACATGCTAACGAAAATCAAGGTAAAATCTAAATCTTAACGAGAAAAGCACTTTTACAGGCAGCTATTATGAACTCTGTCTTTCAGACGAACTCAACAGATAGCAAATGCTCAATTATACACAACAGGGCAGTAAACACAAGTTAAATTGATGAATTGAGATTTCAAAGTACATAGAAGTAGTGAAAAGGTTAAACTTGCAGTATTCCACTGAAAGTATATACTCCCTCCGTCCCATAAAAAACGAATCTAGAACTGAATATGACATATTATAATATAATAGATCTGGACAGAGGTATGATCAGATTTGTAGTACTAGAATGTGTCACATTCAGTACTAGTTTGGTTTTTATGGCACGAAGGAAGTATACCCCTTCGGTTGTCCAGCATTTTCCTCTTATTTTTCCTTTTTTTTAGAACTAGTAGCATTCGCCTCCTTGCACGGGTAATCTGAGCACTGCTCCCACAGTCCAACGGAATGGGACCAATCCCATCGTCGGTGTTCTACTACAGTCTAAAAAAGCGTGTCCAGTTGCTACACCGTACTATATGCAAGACGAGATGAAAAAGGAATACTATTCTCGTGGCTCTCTCAACTGGTGCATGGTACTATGCTTTCGAGGTGGCTCGTCGTACGGGTGAGTGTTGCTCCTGTTTACAACTGCATCCCCGTGTACCATGAATCGTAAAAATGGCTTCCCTTCAAATACCATAATTTTAAATTATATCTGTTAAAATGTCACCTTCATTGGTCTTCTTACCATCGGATTTGGTGGTCCAACACATCCTAACAGCCCAATCTAACAATTTAAAGGGTAGTGGCAATGGTACCAAACTTTGTCGGCTCTCAAAAACGATCCCGATGTTGAGGAAGAAGAGCGATCTCAATGACCTTGCTAGCCCTCGAGCTTAGTTTTAACACTAATGATGGAGAGATCATCTGATCTGCTAAGGCGAATGCGATCGCGAAAGGCCCATCGGAGATAAGGACGAGCGATGTTAGTTGAGGAAGAAGTGTCGAGCTCAAGATTTGGCGAGCTCCTTTGCTACCATTGCCGCAATCCATTTATAGTCATGTTGATCCCATGCTACCCCAAGCTCTACCACCTACCATGCTACCCCCCACCATTGTTACAAGACCCTTTTTTATGATGGCATGATCTCAAATTTTTTCACTGCCGACACCATCACTCCTCCAACCGATGCCGGACCTCCTCCGCCATCACCACCACACCATGTGGACATCCCTTCCCTGCCTCTCCTCAAGTTGATGGTGGCAAGCCGAGCAAGGTGTCCCTGCCCTCGCTGTCTTTCCCATCTCTAATAGTCCACGTCGACAGAGATGCCCCCACCTTAACCATTCGCTTTGCTTTGCCCTCATCATCAACACTGGCTCACTGCTCGGTACCGACCCTGCAACTTTGGCGGCGGCTCCACTTTCCACGACTATACCTTTAAGCCCATGGCCCATGGAACTTACCCCTTTGCACCATCTTACTCTGTCCCCACCCCCCGATACCTAACTGGTCTGTTTTGCCACTACCATCACCTGAGATGAGCTCATCGGAGCAGGAGGAGAAAATCAGGCTGCACAAATCTCCAAGTGGATGGGTGAATTCAAAAAAAAAAAGCAAGATATGTGCTTCGATTTTATGTCAAACGGAAGTTAGCAATTTCATATTTATATTTATATAGGGTTGGGTTTAGGCACGGTCGCATGGCAGCTCCGCTCGGATGGTACGTTTTGTTGGTAAAATTTGTCGGTTCCTTTTCGATATTTCAATGACCGAGAAAATTACTTCATTTATTCTAAGATCCAATAACTTCTCGTATTCAAAAATTGTCATAAAATAGAACTTCTCCACCTACTCTCTTCTTTCAACCAAATATAATCCTCTACTTTTAATTTCTTTAACTACTATCTCATCTTGACCTAGCACAACCATTCACTGTGTAGTTCCACCCACTTTCCTGATAGATCTATAATCTTATAAAACTTCTTATAATTTAAGACATAGAGAATAATAAGATTAAAATAGGAAAAATATGCAGCGGAAAATGTGGGATAACATATGCTAATATGTGTATGCAATGGAAAATCTATGAATATACAAATATAACAATCAAAATTATGAATAAGCATGGATGAAGGGAGAGAGAGAAAAAAAAAGCTGAAACACAAGTGTTCAAGCTCTAAAAAAAATACAAGTGTTCATTATTTTTTTCTTGTTCTCTGTTTGTCCTCTCTGCCACTAGTGACAGGATCGACGGGGATGTGGAACAACATAGAGCAGCCATGGTTGTGATGGATGCGGTGAAAAAGAAGACTTTGTTAAATTTGATTGTAATTTTCCTTTTTGATATGGTATTTTCTGTTTTCTTTAATATAAGTTAGAAATAAGATGTCCCAGGATATCTTTGTTAAAAAAAGTTCTCAAAAAAGTGCAAGTGTTCATTATTTTATAGAAAATGAGCATTTGCATTTCTTAGATACTCCCTCCGTCCTAAAAAAAGACAAACCCTGGGTTTCCGTGTCCAACTTTGACTATCCGTCTTATATGAAATTTTTTTATAATTCGTATTTTCCTTGTTGTTATATGATAAAACATGATTAATATTTTATGCGTGACTTATCTTTTTAATATTTTCAAATAAGACGGACATTCAAACGTTGGGCACGGAAACCAGGGTTTATCTTTTTTTGGAACGGAGAGAGTAGATGTTTGATAGAATTTACGTTGGAAAGAATGACAAACTTTCCAATCTTTATTCTTTCTGGGAAAAAAAACTTGCTCTTCAATTTGTAGCATTGGGAATCTTTTGTAGGAATGGTGATTAAATTTTCTTCTTTCCTTTTAAAAAACCGTGTAAAATTCGTACATTTCAAGATGAACCCAACAATCTACAGACCTACACAAACAGGAGTGTGGATTGAGAAAGAAAGGTAGGAGTATTCCATGATCACAGCATATAGGTTATTGATGTGCTACTTTCGACATCCACATCCATCAGTATACCTGTATACGCAGACATGCATCCGACAAGATCAATATCGCTTATTGATTGTATTCAGGACTCCTATTAAAAAGCCTTGAAACCATGAGCAAGATCGATCGACAAATGGCATACGAACAACTTCAGAATTGGCACCGGTGCACTTTCCACGCTGTCCCACACCGCCCTTCTAGGTAGTACAATCAGATGGTGTGGGCAGCTGCCTCTTCCAATCAGATGGTGATGACAAGCATCAAATGCGAGTGTTTCTATGATCCCCCAAGACAGATGAACGTACTTTTTAGCGTTTAATCGACAGATAAATACGCCTCGATGCTTTTGGATGGTAGTACAAAGACGGGTGATTTTACCGTGTTCCTTCTTGGCGAATTTAACCGTTTTTGATCGAAATATAGCTGAAAAGGAACGAAGAAACCAAACCATTTTTTTCATTAAGAGTACTGATATATTAAAACAGAGCAGCTAGTTTGCTCGTCTTGCGAGATCTGATGACAAGCCTAGAACAAGAACAGCAGCAGCAGGAGCAGGAGGAGGAGAACGTGTTATTCCTCTGAACTAGTAGTAAGTTTCAGCTGAGATCCGACGGCTGCAAATGCCCCATCTCTTTGCTTCAGAAGAAAGCACGGCTTCCGTAGAATACTTTGGGAGATTTCTCCGGCCCACCGGCCATCGGCTTCTTCGCCGCCGCCGCGGCCGCCGCGCCCGAGTCGGCGCCGCTGGAGTCCGCGTCGGAAGCGGCGGCGCCGGCGCCGGAGACGGCCGCGCTCTTGTCGCTGCCGTTGTCCAGGTCCAGCGGGAGCTTCATCTTGGCGAGGGACTCCGTGAACTGCTGCATGCTCTTCATGTACATGTCCATGATCTCCTTCTGGTCGACCTTGACCTCCTGCTCGAGGTTGACGCGGATGACCGGCGGCTTATCCACCGCGCTCTCGGACATGGCGCCGGGGGAGTTCGCCGCCGGGCTGGCGCTGCTCTGCACGGTGCGGGAGGACTCCACCTCCGCGTCGGCGGCGTCGGAGGCGGCCTTCTCCTTCTGCTCCGCCGACGAGACGGCATTGCCGGAGGAGTTGGACTGCGGGGTGGCCGGGACCGCGGCGGCGGCGGGGGACTCCGTGGTGGACACGCTGCTGACCGGGGTGTCGCTCCGGAAGGTGCCGGCCGAGTCGGCGGTGCTGTTGTCCGTCGAGAAGCTCTGCACGACGCGCACGCCGGCGACGTGGGTCTCGGCGGTGGCGCCGTCGCCGTCCTCCTCCGAGGTCAGGAGGCTCTCGGAGCTCTGCGGCTCCACGGCGGAGCACGGCAGCCCGATGTACTCCGACAGCATGATCTGGTTCTCCTCCACGAGATTCAGATCGGGGAACTCGATCTTCTCGTACTCCTTACCGTTCGCCGCGCCGCCGGCGCGGTGCTCCTCCGCGTCGGCCAGGGCCGGCTTGGGCGTCGGCGAGATGGGCACGACCTCAGGCACGACCCCGATGTAGGACAGCTCGAGCTGCAGGAACCCGGCGTGGGAGTGGAAGATGTCGTTGGTGGAGAGCGGGAACTCGCGGGCGAGCGTGCCGCCCTCGGCGGCGACGACGTCCGGGAGCGGCACGAGCGCGAACCCCAGCAGCTGGTCCTGCAGGTAGTTCTTGACCCGGCTCAGCATCCACACCTCGCACCGGAGCGCGCCGTCGACGTCCCCGGCGCGCACGCCCAGGCGCAGCGACTGGTCGAACACCGGGTTGCGCCCCCCGCCGTTGATGACCTGCGTCGACGCCGCCGGCGCCCCCTCCCCCGGCAGCGACAGCCGCGCGTACACGTCCTGCTTGTGGTAGATGCAGATGTTCTGGATGTCCCGCGCGCTCTGCACGTGCACGTCGACGTACCCGATCAGCTCGCCGCCGCCGGCGCCGCCGCTCCCGTTCGCCGCCGGCGCAGAAACCGCCTTCTCCTGCTGCGACTCCATGGCAACAAACACCACCACCACTCGCCTGCAAACAACATCCAAAAGAGATAACAACGAATCAAACCAAATCCACACAAAATTGAGCCGAATTTCCCCCCGACTAAAGAAATCGAAACCGGTGGGAGAGCAGCTGCATAGTCAAAATCCGACGGTAGGTGGAAGAACAGCACAACGCTGAACTGTCGGCAGATGCTTACAAAAAAGAAAAATAAAACCCAGAAACTGCAGCACACAGAGTCTCCTCCTCGTCAACGTTTCTCGAACAGATGGAATCACTACCAGTTCACAGCCCCAAGAACTCGATTCAACCACACAACCACTCAAGAACTGAAGATAAATAAACTCCCGGAAAAGAGAGGGCGATCGATGCCGCGTAGGTTTCCATCCCAATAAAGGGAAAGCGCAAGAAAGAGCACAAATCCCAGGGAATCCAAGAGAGCACAGAAGCTACAGAGCGGGGAAGCAAAGCAAATCTGAAAGCAGAAAGCACGAGAGGATTCGGCGGTTTCGCCTCTTACCTTGTCTGTACTGGAGTACTACTCGAGAACTGAAGCAGCAGCAGCAGCAAGCACACACCACTGGTTGGAGGAATGAGGAATCAGGCGGAGGAGAGAGCAGGAGCAGGCAGCGTCTACTGGGGGGCTCGAGGATATAACACCAAAGGGGGATTAGGGTAGTAGCAGCAGATTTTTTTTTTTTAGTCTCACCTTGCTTTTTTTTTTCTACTCCCGTACCTAACTAAGCTTGCTTTTATTGCCTTGTTTGGCTTTAGCAGCCACACAGCCCTAGCCTCAAGAAAATTACCCCGAGTATACCTTCACTCATTCGTTCAAACCACTGTATCTGTAGAAGTGTAGATTATAGAATTAGTACGTGTACAGGTAGCTTAAAAAGGGGTAGAAAGGGAACTGGAAAAAGGGAGGATGGCCTGTAGAAAGGTCGGGAAAAAGGGGTCGCAGAAAGTCCGGGGCAATGCAGTGAGCTCAGATCAGGCGGGTGCGCTGTTTCTAGGCTATATTTTACTCCCGTTTTTTTTCCACGGTTTTGAGCGATATGGCCCGAAAAAGTCAAGCAAAGGCATCCATCGACTCGCCTCTGGGCTCTGGCTGCTTGTGGCGGCAGCGCGTGACGGGCCGCACCAATGGGGCGCGTCCACCTGCAGCCTTTGGATGAGCAGGCGGGCGTATTTTTTTGGTTTTCCTAATCGGAACCGTCTCGTCTCGAGTCCGCTTCGTGGCCGCGGCTGCCCGCGCCTGCCCGCGCGGTGCCGGCGGGGGGTGGGTGTGGCGTGAGGGGCCCCGCCGCGTCCGCACGCTCGCGCGGAGTTTTCAACGGGGGGATACTGGCCCTTTCCGCGGCCGCCATCATGCTCCGCTTCAGTTTGGTGGATCGGTGGGAAGAGGATCATCTGACTTATTTTTTTTACGTGATTAAATTGATACAGAGTATATGGGTTTTCTGAATAACGGGTTTATTGACAAGGACCCCAGATAGATTATCCATATCCTAACTAAATTATATCATATTAATTAGTATATCGATTAATAATTAGATAATTACTATATATTGTATCCTAGGAAATTTTGTTCTAGGTTCATCACTGGTCGTTGTGTGAGAGACGTTTGTAACCCGACTTTTAAAATTGGATAAAAACTCGTGGTTTGCTAGCTCATTCGGCTCATGTCTTTCGATTCATTTGAATTTGTCAACAAGTTTATCTGAGATTTTAAATTGTTAGGTATACTAGCTTTTATGAGCCAAACAAGCTAAGGCAAGTATCAAACTAACAATTCAACAAAACATTCTGACACGAAAAAAGTTCACATAGAACTCAAACCTTAGTGTACGCGTCATCCTCGTTGGTCACATGTAGCCTTCTCGAGTCTCAACTCAACACACCCCCTTCATTCATTTTGTCATATCACAGCATTCCGCTCGGTCATAGCTCTGTTAGATGGATCTCCCTCCCCTTGAGCCCAACGGCTCAAGGGGGCCTTGACCCGCGTCCTGATCGGGGGCGCCCAGCCCAATGGCTGGTGGGCCCCCGTTACACTGCGCCATATAAAAGGGGGTGGAGGCCGAGGCAGCACACGATACGAGGTTCGTCGCCGCCGCCACTCCACCCCACAAACACTAACCGATCGAGAGGGAGCGCAGCCAGTGACGGGAAGACGCCATCGCCGCGCCACGCTTCATCGTCGGGATCGCCTACGACCACCGCTGCCACGACAACCGCCGCCGTCAAGCACACCGTCGCCGCCGTCCACGTCAAGCCGCGACAACAATGACGATGTTCAGCGCATCTTCCTCCACGAGCACCTCAATTGGTCGGTATCTAAACCCTCTCTTTTCATCCACAATGTTATTCATCCACCCAATAGAGCCAACCCGACTAGATCTATACCTAGGTGATCCTATAGACGATCTAACAAGCTCTAGATAGATATTGCTATGTGTTTGGTTGATTGTACGAAGTATGAAACTAGTGATGGATATTCTAATTTGTATGTTGGTTTGATGATTCAATTGTATTCAAATATTTGTAAACTTAAATTGATGTTGATTTTAATCACAAGCTTAACGACTCAGTTATAACTACAACTAGCAAATACACTTTTAACTTATTAGGATAACCGAGTAAAAAAAAAAAGAGCTGGCTCGCTATCCACCCGTATCCGTCCTGCACCGTACTGCAGGACGTGGCAAGACTCAAGAGGGTACCCGTCGCGTGAGCGGAGCGGAGAGACTTGGCGTGTTGGGCTTGTTGGTACGCGTGCGTACGTGCGAGGCGGCCGTCCGTGCACACGCAGGACCGGACGAAAGGGATTCGGATTATTGATGCTCGTGTGTCCCATGCTTCCGAGAAGAAACGTGGTTGACATGTCCAGTACTCTAGTGTGGTTGCGATCGATCTGCTTGAAAGCAATCTCGTCGTGCCGATAGCATATGAATCTTATCCGTCTCACTTGCAAACAGTTGGTATTTTTGTTAGCGTTTTGCTCTCTTTCAACGGGAGAATTAATTGAAGGTACTTGCAATCTGTTACGGAAGTTCCAAGTTGAAAATTCAGGTCAGAGATTACTGGAAAGAGAACTGTCAACTAAGATTTGGGCAATTCCAACTACAAGATTTGTGGAGGATATAAATCAACTTTCTACTGGTAGGGTTTTAGTAGGCCTTATAGGCTATAGCTACTGGTCAATAGACTCGATACTTTCAACTTATATTACGGTTAGTCTTCAACCAAGAATTAGGCTCAGCATGGGGTTTTCACAAAATCAAAGCTCACGTAAACCACGAGATAGAGATCATGTGTGTGCCACCATGTGAAATTCGTCGGCGTCATTCCTCTGCTCAAACTCATGGACTATATATGTGCACCTCTCACTACTTCTAGATGTGATATTATTGATCACTGCTTTACACCAATCAAACAAAACCAGTTATTTCAAACAAATAGATGCTTAATAGTCGTTGCATGCATGCTTCCAGACTTCCAGTCACCAAACTGATATTGTAGTGCAGCTCTAGAGTTAAGAAAAAATAACTTTCTGAGAACTTTCATGGTGTTTGTATTCCAAAAAAGGGTATATATCCAACGGTTTTCAATCACAGGTATCATATAAAAGGTATTTAAGTATTAGTATAGGTACTTAAGTACTAAGAGTAAAAATATAATTTTACTAGTAGAGCAAAAATGGTAGAATTGTCTCCCAAATCAGAATCGGTACCGCGTAGGTACTACTATACGAGTTAACATTTCCCCGAACCAACTTTACAGGTTCTTATTTGCGTATTTTCCCTTTTGCGTGGTTTTCTCTTGATTTACGTTGTGTTTAAGTTAAATCATTTAGCTAGCACTAGCGTTACAGGTTCTTGTATGTTGCATCATTTTATCTAGAGCTACTCTGTTTTTTTATGTTCTCTATTACATGGTTTTTTCTAGAGTTACGTTATGTTTTTATAACCCGTACATGTCAACCAGATCTTGCCTCTTGTTCAAATGATCAACCATGCTAGATCTTCTTTCTTGACCGTGTCTCCTCGTAGGTGCACTGTTCAAACACTAGAAGAACATCATAGGAGGAGATATCGTTTACTATCCCAAAAAAATCCAGTCCCGTATATAAGGAATTTATGAAATGTATAAATAACTAATCAATATAAAGCTTCGGTATATATAAAAGAGCAAATTGCACTGGCGGTCCTTAAACTTGTAAGCAGGTTTTATTTAGATCCACAAACTTACAAAGTGTGTATCGAGGTCCCTAAACTTAGTTTATTGTATCATCCCTGTCCAAAGTCTCATTTGACCGTGGTCTTACCTACGTGGCATGACATGTCGATGACGACATGGCACATTATTATTATTATTTCTTTTTTTCTCCCTTCTTCCTCTTTCATTTCTCTCTTCTTCGGACTCTTTGACACGGGGGAGCTCGAGGTGGCTCTAGTGGAGGAAGAAGATAAAATAATAGGAGGAAAAAGAAAAGGGGGAAGGAAAAAAAAACAGCATGTCATCGTCCACGTGGCGTGCCACATAGGTAAGACCATGGTCAAACGACACTTTGGACCGGGATGATACAATAAACCAAGTTTAGAGATCTCGATGTGCGCTTTGCAAGTTCGTGTATCTAAGTGAAACCTTATGACAAGTTTAAAGATCGCTAGTGTATTTTACTCTATATAAAAAAAGATTTGAGCGCATTTATTATAAAATTTTACTGTATGTTTTAGTTTTATGTCAAAAAGTAGGCTTGATTAACCCTAGAAGGGGTTTTCAGGTAGATTAACCTAGAAAATATATAGAAACATTACTCTAGCTTTTGTCACTCGATAGAGGGAGTAGTACCATGCGAATCTCTCAAGTAATCAAGGATCATGGCGATGGAGGAGGTGTTGATAGTATTTTGGAGTTTTTTTCAGTATCCGCATAAGGACATTTCCGATTTGTGACCTCCATATTGTCTTTTAGCTTTGTCACAACATATGTTTAAGGTTTGGTAGAAGAGGGGGAATTGAATAAACAATACACGCTGTGTTCTTACACAAGAGACCACGATGAGTAAACGACTGATGAGACAAGAATATATATAGTGTGTGCGAGTGGATATATATGTCAATTAGCACATTTTCTTTTTTTTTCAGGGGAAACGGTAGGAGCTCTACCAATTGCAATTAAGGAGGAGGAGAAAAACATGGTTTTCATCTTACAAACAGGGCCACAAGCGAAGGGGTCTCAAGGGACTCCCCGCTAGACACATAAGGGAGGTCACAAAAGCTTTAGGAAATGAATAGCAACAAGCAGGAGAATGCGTTGAAGTCTCATCTAAGAATTAAGGGCTTCATCAAATTCTTTGCACATGCCGATGATGGACTCGACGACCTGAGGAACCATGTTGTATTTTGCCATTGAAGATCCTCTCATTTCTGCCCCAAGTCATCACTGGTGGAGAAAGCGTTTGTAGTCCCGGTTCATAACCCTCCTTTAGTCCTGGTTTGAAAACCAGGACTACCAATCCAGGACTAAAGATCGCTATCTTTAGTCCCGGGTGAAATAACTGGGACTAAAGATCGATCTTTAGTCTCGGTTGGTAACACCACACCAACCGGGACTAAAGATGGCTCAGCCACGTGACCGGCTGAGCCATCTACCAACCGGGACTAAAGATCGAGCTGACCTTTTTTTTTTGCATGGCCCTGTTGCTGCATGGTTTATATATATAAACCATGCATATATATGTTTCAATACATATGTATGCATATATTATATATATATACATATATATTTATTTATTTATATTATATTGTTTCAATACATATACATGCATAATATATATGTATTATACATATATACATATGTATGTATATATACATATACATATATATACATATACATATATATATATATATATATATATATGTGTGTGTGT